TAAAGGGACAAAGTCAGCTATCCCATTTTATGTGTGTATGATTGTTTTCAGGGGTCACTCTGTTCATAAAGACATAACTAGTTTACTGGGTAAACATGAACATACCAGCGGTGAGATCATTGCCAGAAAGACCTTGCCAGTCAATTGTCCAACCCCCACATTGATAACCCAAGTTGTCGGCATGGCTTCCTGCAACTAATATTTTTGCTGCTTTCTTCAGCAGAGGAAGCAGCGGTCTATTAGCCGTTTTACCATTCTTTAACAACACAAGAGATTTTCTCACAGCCTCCCTCGCCAGATCTCTATGTTGCTGTTGAAGATGTAGTATTTTTTTTAGTAAAAATCAAACTTTCATGATAGTCAATAAGTTTATAGAAAGGATATTGACAAATTTAAAATATCGTAAAACAGACCTGACTACCAAGTTGGTTGACAAGTGAGCGATCAGAGAAAGGATTCTCAAAGAGACCCATGACGAATTTAACCCTCAAGATCCTCCTAACAGCATCATCGATCCTGCTAATGGGAATGATTCTTCTCTTAACATGAGAGGTTAGTACATCGATGAATTCTGTGTAGTTATTGGGAACCATGATCTGCAAAACAACCACAAAGACATTAAAAAATTTATAGTATCAAAAAGAAAAACGAACCATAGAAAAAAAAAAGTGTTAGCTTGACTGACCATATCAATTCCAGCACCAACTCCAGCCTGGACAGAATATGCATAATTCACATGAGGAGGAGAGGTTATCCTGTCAATACCCTCCCAATCTGATATGACAAATCCCTGCAAACAAAGAACTCAATGAGACTTGGAAATTGCTTGCCCGAGTACAGAATTGAGAAGCAAGGTAGTTCATTCAAACAAATTATTTTGTTTACCCTGAACTTCAACTTTTTCTTGAGGAAACCGGTTATAAGTTCACGATTAGAGTGCATCTTCTTTCCATTCCAGCTTGAATATGATACCATAATTGTTGCAACACCTTTGCTGATGGAAGTATAATATGCAGGCATGTGAATTCTGAACAATCCCCTTGCATCAATGACAGTATTGTTCTCATCAACACCCCTTACTGTGCCCCCATCTCCAACATAGTGCTTGGCACAGGCTGCAACTTTGTTCCTGACAAAAGGCAAGGAACGATTCGATCCCATTTTCTAATTCTTAAAAAATTGCATTTGCTAACTAACTTGATGAATATGCTGAATTGTTTTTACAGGTACACACCCAACAACAATTCATATTCTTCTGAACCAAAAAATCAGAGTACTCATCTGTTAAATGAATCAGAGACACAGAACCATACCAAAAGACATGATTAATAATTCCCCCCGTAGGAAAACAAAACTCTATTGTTTGTAATATGAAGATAATCAGATACAAGCTGTCATCAAACTGATTTTGGCAAGTCAAACCAATCATCTAGACTCTTTTACATGGTACTAACGATGCTGACTCCCATCTTGTGCTGTGTTTCTTGCATTACAATCACAGTAAAATGACTAAATTTTAATTTTAAGAGAACATATCACATTTTTATCCAGCAGATCGTGAGTTTTGAATATTTATATCAACTGATAAAAAAAAACTTGTCAGATTTTTGGTTTTTATTTATTATTTATTTTCTGATGAATTAATGTCATAGGACAAAGATGCAAATTATATAGGACCTTTCCAGAAAACAAGCAACTGTTTACTGAGGTATGCACCAATTGAAAAGTGAGATCTCTATGGAGATCTTTCCGAAGACCCGACGCCAAGACAAGTTCACATGATAGAGACACACCCAAAATATCAAAAAAGAAATACTAGCTTACATCACTACAGAAAACAAGTGAAATATAATGTGAATTGAGATGATAATTTCTAAACTAGGATAAGATACTAAAAGCTCAGTTTCCTGGAGATGTTGAACACTCAAGGAGTAATAATGGGTCCTGATTATCTCATTTTTGTCACTAAGTTTTTCTGCTTGGTAGAACAAATGGCCCACAATCAAGAAGGCACTCTCAAAGAGTAATGGGATACTAAAAGCTCAGTTTCCTGGAGATGTTGAACACTCAAGGAGTAATGGGTCCTGATTATCTCATTTTTGTCACAAAGTTTTTCTGCTTGGTAGAACAAATGGCCCACAATCAAGAAGGCACTTACTCATGAGAGGCCACCCCAAATATCCCTACAACATGTTAATGTAGTCATTCCCAGACACGTGAAATGTAAATAGGTATATATCTAGAAAGATATCAACCTTCTTTTTTTTTTGCATTTTTAAATTTCTTTGATAGAGAGGATGCTCCACCTTTTAACAAAACAACAAAATCAGATAACCCTTTTTTTCTTTCACAAGAAAAGCAAATAAACTTAGAGGTGATTTGATGTATGTGCAAGAAGACATGTGAAAATGCATAATTCTCAGCTGGATCTCAAAGCAGTTGGATTGAATAAATACTAAAATTAGAAAACTACCAGTTTACGGAAGGGAAAGTCAAGAAAGGGAGGGGGGGAAACACTGACCCATCAAGTTTTCAGACAGGGAATCATCAAGAGGAAGCACCTTTGGTGGCTTATATTACTCTTTTTTAGATTTGAACCAACCAAATTCAAACAAGTTGAAAGTGTCATTTCTCACCAGTGGATGTGATTAAGCAAGGATCCAAATTGATAATACAAGTTAACAGAAAGGTTCTTACTTTCCAGCAACAAATGGAACACCCTTCCGAGAATTGGCTGGCAGGTCTCCCTGTAAACCAGATATAATTTCAGTCATTGCTCGAACAATTCTAGGATCTTCACTATAGCTTTCGTAGCACCGACCCCATCTAGGATCCCTGCAAACCTGGGAAAAGAGAAGTGGAGAAAATATGCTACAATATCAGTATCATACTTTATTTATTTTTATTTTTTTACAGAAACATTGAAGAACAGAAAACATTTGCTTACCGCAATACATGGAGCAAAGGCATATGAGATTCCTGTAGCTCGAACCTCAAGAGCAGTTGCATCTCCAATCCTCTTCAGAAGTTGAGGATCCCTGAATGTACAAGTATTCAAAAATATAAATACCATTAAACCATTCCTTTAACTGAAACAGTCACATCACAGGGAAGCCAAATGGAAGCAAGATCATTTAGGATCTAAGAACTTGACTGACAGAGTGATCTAAGTTTCATTTTTCTAAGTTAACTTTACTTGAAAACAAAATCCTAACTCATCCAAATTGATCTTAGAGAAACATTATTTGGGTACTTGATAAAAAGATTTTCCGGTCTCTTTACCTCCCCAGAAAGATCAATTAATTAAAATCTCAAAATGATCTCACCATAATAAGATGATTAGCTCAATCTAAGATACAACAAAGTAATGTGGGTTATATTATTAATAAGGATTAGGTAACACCCACCATAAAAGCAAGATATATATAGTAGAAAAGTTATATTTACTTTTCCACAAGCACTTATCTGAATTCAAGTTGTATATGAAGTTATATTTACTTGCCTGGTCACTCCAAGCCCAACATTGTGTGGGAAAATGGTGGCACCATAGACATTGTTGTGCCCATGAACAGCATCAATACCATATATCATTGGAATCCCAAGGCGAGTGGATAAAGCCCCCTTTTGAAGCTCATCCACCATGTTTGCCCAAGTCTCAGCACTAGCCTTGGGAGCCGGTGCACTCCCTCCACCACTCAACACACTCCCTATACAACACATTTGCACAACATATATTGAGTCAAAATATAAGTGGGCATTTTAAGAGTACTATGGAAGCAGTTATTTACTACAAGTGATTTTAATCAAAATTTATTCAGTTTTAGTAGAAATAACTGTAGAAATTGCTATTAGTTAAAAAGTGCAGGTGTGTTTGGTGAAAATAAAATTTGAGATTTTGAATAAAGATGCTTATTAAAGGCAAAAAATTGTTTCAGAAGCTCCAAACTGTAGCTTTTATATGTAAAGCAATCAAAATCAGATTTTAAATTTGAATTTTTTCTAATCATTTACTTAGTTATAAAAGTGCTTTTAGAACCCAAAATAAAAAGCAAAAAGTTTTGAACAGGCCGAACTATCATAATAATGAACTGTACATCTAACTATCTGAATGTTCAAAGAAGATTAGTTCTTTACCAATGAAGAAATTCTTCATGACCTCAGGATTTGCAACTTGACGCTCGATCTGCACCATTTGACCGATCTTCTCAGCTAAAGTCATCCTTCTCATTAAGTCTTTGATCCTAGCACTTATCAGTTGACGTGGGTCTTTATACTTCATGTATTGTGCTTCAGTTATGGCTGCCAAGCAGCATAACAGAAGAAATCCCCAAATGGGTATTGAGAATCTCGCCATTTTCGTCACTATGTTCAATCACTCTGGTTTTTTATCTGCAGATTTCATCCGTCAAGAGCACAATACAAACTAAGCACATAAACATCACTTTAAATTAAGTATATCAATACTACTTGCAAAAGCCAAAACAGAAGGGAGTGCAAATTTTTACAGACAACACATTTGAATAATCTGATTTGAAGGAAGATGTAAAAGAAGAAAAGATGAACAGCACGATCTTATACAGACATACGAGTGAGAGAGAAAACGTGCGGATAAGAGCGAAATGAAGCATAGCAAACAGAGAAATGAACTAACAAGTGAAGCTCAGCTCAAAATGGAAGAAGAAAGTGAGAAGCTTACATTGAGAAATGAACCACAGAGCAGAAAAGGGAGAAGAGAGAAAAAGAAGAGAAGAAGATCCTCGTCTTCCCTGCTGCTAGTCGTAAGCAGAGAATGGGAATAGATTCAAGTTTCTTGAGAGACAGCTGCTTCTTAAATATAAAACTTTTAAACTTATTTAAGTATTTTTTTTTAATAGTTTATTAATAATATTATTTTTTAAAATTAATGTTTATTTTATATTTGTATATAAGGAATTTATGTTATATAAACACGTGCTAATACATGTGATTTTTCAAATACATATATATATATATATAAATAATTTGAATACATGAGATTTATAACTATTTTAGTTATTTTAAAAATATATCTATAAATTAAAGTCCAATTTTCTAAATGAATATTACATGATAGTTATGTAATTATCAAATAATAATAATAATAAACAATAACACAATAAATATTATATTTGGAAACTTGTAAAATACACATATATATATTTATATATAAATATGTGTATAAGTATGTAATAGAATTTTTAAAAAATATAATAATAAAATGAATATATTTACTTATTTTTATTATAAAAAAAATGTACACCTAACTATGTGCAATTTATTCAATTTTGTATTACTCTCATCCTCTACCATTTTTATGAGCATTTTTTATCTAAGTTTTTAAATATTTTTTATTTTATTTAAATTTTTTAAATAAACATTTAAAATTAATTTCATTAAATAATTTATAGTCGTACGCTACATATATAAATTACGTGATATTGACAAGTCACGTATTGACGAAATCTAACAGATCTAAAAAATCTAGAAAAATATCATGTTTTCAAAGAAGAAAATGTAAAAGTTACTTTTCTAAGAATGGTCCCATTATTATCTCATTTGGTTTTCTTATAGTCATTCATTATTTCTACATTTAATATATATATATATATTTACTTATGTTGAATAATAAATATTTGACAAAAAAATTTCAAAATTGGAAAAATGATCATCATTAATGTGAAATTTTGATTCATTAATAAAATAAAACTTTTTTTATAAAATATAAAAAATAAATAATTTTTTTTTATGAAGCAAAGATTTATTATTTTTATCTTATTTAGTTTGTTCAAATTTGTAAATTACACTCAAAACTCTCTCTCTCTATATATATATATATATATATATGACTAATAATAAAAGAATATACTCTTAGTTAAGATAGGATAGAATGACCCACAAAAATTTAGACAAATATATGACATATATATATATTTATAGTTAACATGAAGCAACTTAACCCATCATTAATGCAATATTAACCCCAAAACCATAAGAAGATTAATGACAAATGATTAACAAAAGTTTTTTATGAAATCATATTGGAGTTACTAAATTATTCGAATTGAGTTAAAAAGACAATTAGAAATTAGTTGCAAATAAATTTACCTTTCGAAGATTAATCGAGGGCGCTTCGCCCTGATAAGCATATAGCAGGGCAAGCACCGATGAGATAACCTTCGTCCCTCTAGGAGAAAAAAAAAATCAACAGTATGAATTAATGACAAATATATTTGAGAGTTCGTTATAAAAAGAGAAAGAATGAAGAATTTGATAGGGATTGCTAAAAGAAATAGAAGGAGGAGAGGAATTAGTGGAAATTGATAAATGTTCGTAAAAGGATTTATTTTGGATAAAAGAAAATCCGAGAAAATCTCTTGTTAGAAATTTAGTTTCTCTTCTATTTTGAAACGATAATTTAGTTGAAAGAAAAATGGATATACATTGTGAGAAAAAATACTCTTTATTTATATTTTTATACATATCTATGTATATTTAAAATAACTTTTTAAAAAATTAAAATAAATAAGACGAATTTAACATTGAACTCCTTGCTGGTCAGTCTCCTTACCTTGGCGAAATTATTAGGCTACTGGAAATTATTGAGATATATCGTCTCTTATATCTCAAGTTTGAACATTATAGCGATTAATGCACTTTAGGTATAGAAAATTATGTCTATTAAATACAACAATGACTTTAAATTTAGACTTATTGTTAAGGATTACAAGACGCCATTAATACCTCGTTCTAATGTTTCTATGAGTTGGGTTAGAAAAAATTGTAACGAAGCGATTTATTATATTACGAGATTGTAGTAGGACCTTTTTGAATTTTTTATATTCGAAAAAATTTTATTACTGCGTTGTTTGTATAATACAAACGATGAATTACTATTTTTTTTATAAAAAATATATATATATATATATATTGAACCCCTTGCTATTTTTTTTTTAAAATTAATAAATTCAATTATTTTTTATTTTTTTATTTAAGATAAAGATCAATAATAAAATATTGAGACTACTAAAAAAAATAAGTTCCAATAAACAGAAAAATTAAAAATAAATAAATAATATATTTATCAAAAACCCAAAAAAAAAAACAAAGACAAAAAATTGCAGTGGGTTACAGAGGAAAGATTTGCTTTTATTGGGTAACGCAGAGGCGGGCGGGGGGGGGGGGGCAAAAGCTGACAGAAACATCAGACCACATTTTTCAAGACGCCGACTAACGCTTGATTATTTCTTATTTGAAAAAACTGCAATTAAATTAATTTTCAAAATTATTACCGTTGGATTTACATTTGAAATTTGACTTTTTTGTTCAAAAATTTTGAATCTGGAGTTGCAGGTTCAGGAGCCAGAGGTATTGGGAGAGACAATGATGGTTTTCTAGGTTTTAAAAATGTGGTCATTTGACCCACGGTTTATGTTTTAAGTTCTCTATATATATATATATAATATTTTAAAATGTATTAAAAAATGTATTTAACATATTAAATAAAAAAATATGTTATAAGATAATCAAAGATAATATATTTTCTTGTTGAGTTATTTATATATAAATTTATTGTGCATAAAAAATTATTAATTTTATTAATTCTGTTTAAAATAATACGATTAAAATTACTTTGAGTATTAATACATTAAATTTATGTACAGAAAATAATAAAATAAATAAAAAATAATAAAATTTAAAAATATAAAAAAACAGTTATGATTTTCAAATCATAAATATAATTTAATTTTCTTTTTATCTCATTAACAGAAAAAAAAAAAAATTTAACAAACAATCACATAAAATTCTTTTGCTATGAATTCACGAACCGCACATAATTTAAAATGAGTTTGTTTGCTGTTTTAAATTTACATATAAATCTGTTTTATGTATTTCTTACGTTACTATCTAAAATATTTTAAATATATATATTATATGTATATAATTTTTTCAAAAGTTTAAGAAGTCATATTTGCATTTTATGAACACTGTACCTACTCCTTCGATACATAAAATCAAAACCAGAGGTTTCTTTTGAACAAGAACAAGAGATAAAAACTACCAACATGATATTTTGAAAGTTTCCTGTTGAATTGGAAGTGTTTGGATTTGTGAATATATTGGAATGAATATATATGTCGGCAAAAATCTCTTTTATCATATATCACTACTCCGTGTTAATTTCACCATTTATACTGTTCTACATGGAAGACAGATATCACAATATTCAATGTCTATGATTGATTTGATTTATATGCTGAGTGTTGTCTCCAAGTATCTTCACTAATTTCATATAAAGATTTATATCAATATATATATATTACCAGTATTACCCAAAAAGCTCCAAATCATGATAATAATATCAACGATTATGATAGTGGGAACTAAATTCCAAAAGCAAAAGAAAGAAACAATATAACATTATTCACCGTTATACACAATACATCAGTTCAAACCAAAACAGCTATTCAAAATGTATATCTTCGTGGTTTACGAGTAAATCTCCTTCAATTTTATTTCACTCGTTAAGTTTATAGGGGTGGACACCTATAAACAAGCTGTGTTCCCAAGACTCTATTGCGCTTATTATAATAAGCTACGGGTTTAAAGAAGCACTATTTGAACATTATTTTATAGTCTATACCAATATATGGATGCCGCTACTGGCAGTTTAATCTAACTTGGGTTCGAAGAGATGACCAACTCTTTAAGCAAAAAGTGGTAGAGGTTTATAGAGGCATACCATTGAAAAGAAAAAACTTACTTGACCGGTTGGGTGAGGGTGAGTCAAGAAGACAGCAATAGCAGTTGCAGCGGCAGCTAAAACAGCAATTCTCAGATGCATGAACATTGAAGATTTTACCTACAATCAAGTCAGATACATTAAGTTCCACCTTGAGCCAATTTCCACCGTAAATACCTCTGTACGTTGTCAAGCCCACACAGCTCCTTAACAACAGGCATGGTTGCAGGCACCTCCAACTGGATCACGGAATCAAACCCGTCCTTCCCACTCCAAGAATTCAGCTGTTTTCTGGCTTCTTTAATAGCTGCTCTTGTAGCACAGTGGACAGAAACTGCTAGAAGCAAAGGTGGCTCACCAGATGCTGCGTTGAGAGACGTACTATTTAATCAATTCAAGAAAGGAACATATGCGCGTATGCAAAATATCATAGCAATAAAGACAGAGGAAAAAAGTGATGCATTGCTAGAGAAACATTCAATTTCATATCTAGTATGTTGAGCAAGGACTACTCATGAAGCAAGTCTTTCAACCTAATAGCATGCATGAACATGGTGAGTAAGCAAGCAAGTAGTGATTCAATTCTTAGTCATGTTTGTAAGTTAAATCATATGGACCTGGGAAAGATGGAAGCAATCCGAACCATGGCTATCAATTTTTTTAAAAACTCTGTTACAATAAAAATGGCGAAGGGAGAAAAGCCCAGAAATTTTTTTTTTTTTCTTTTTCTTCCTACTGCTATAATGCTTAATCCAAATTTCATAGCGAACCAAATTAATATGGTTCCATTCTCCAAATTCTACGCAAATGTACAAAGTTTCTCATCAATCAAATTAGGAAAGTGTTGACGTGTATAGCTATGCATAGGACAGAGAAATTTCAATTAAATTCTATTCTAGAATCAACAAATATAGGTATAACATTAACACCCAAAGATATTGCAAGCCTTTATGACTACTTTAAAGCAATATACCTTTTGAGGAGAGTACACGCTTTTTATGATGTCCACTGTTCAGTATTTCAACATTGAAGTGCCTGGGTATCGTGTCCACTGTAGGGATCTTGTAAGTCCACGTGCTATCAGCAACCACCATTCCATCTGAATCTACTGGGTATTCTTCAAGCATAAAAAACCCAATTCCTTGAACAAATGCTCCTTCTATCTGGGAAACAGAAATTTAAATTCAAATAATTTAGGACTACTTAGATATCTTTGGTCCACATCTACCTTCAACCAAAGAATGAAAAGAGTTCTTTGGCCAACCTGTCCTAGATCTACAGCTGGGTTGAGGCTTTTTCCACAGTCATAAATAATATCTGTCCGCAAAATTGTGGTTTCTCCTGTCAGAAGATTTATCTCCACCTATGGTGCCATAGCTCCATAATTAGCGTATAGACAAAGACTCTTATATGGAACAATTATTAGCCCTGAAATTGGTAGTCTATCATCTTCAACAGAGCAGCAAGAGGAGAAAAAAGACAGTTTCACTTTCAAAACAGAAGAGAAGAGTAAGAATGATATCATAAAAGAACTTGCCTCACTCACTGCAGCACCATAATTTAGATATTTCATCGAAGCAAATTCTGGCACATAGAGGGAATTTGCAGATAAGTTCACACTCTGAAAATATGCCTGCACGTTAAACATGTTAAGAGATTAAATCAAAGCCATCACTTGGACTTAATGAAGAATACACAAAAAGAATACGCACGTTGATAAATAAGAAGGGAAAAAAATGCTCACTTATATGCAGCAACCAGCACATGGAAATTTGAAACACAAATTTAAAATGGAGAAAATGTCAACTGTTACCGTAAGCTCTACCACAATTTAACCTGAATGAAGCTACAGTTCGTGACATTAGGAAAAGCAACAATGCCATTTATAAAGATGTACATTACAAATATTGAATTATTCACACAGATTGTCCATCTTATTGAAAAATTATTAAGCAAAAGATGAAAACTCCACCCTTTTGTCTAGACCACTTAAGGGACAAGTGTCTTGTGCTGGTATTCTATCATTTAACATAGTCTAACAGGAGGAAGAAGAAGAATTTAGGGGCCAGGCTGCGACAGCTACATGTTTAATTTGTTATGTTTATTTTATTATACCATATAAGACTCTATTTTATTATATCATATCATATCATGTCTATGTATTATCTAACTGCCACTTAGGGACTGTGTTGTGGTCCCAGACTTCAGATATGGTCTTGGAATGAGAACTAGGGATTGGGGCTCGTTAGAGAGAATCCACCGATTTCTGGAGTTAAAAGACTCTAAACCTTTTCTTAAAGATTATCATCTTAGGGAAGAATGAGCAGGTTTTTCCTGAAACCTATGGTAACATCTTATCCTAAAATTTAGGTACAAATAAATAGAAAGGAGTGGACTGATTTCTTCATACTATCTAGGATATAATCACCACGATTTTATGTTGAATAAAGTGAGTGCTACTTGTGAATCGAAAAACCATTATCAAGGCACCCCATTATCCCCTCCCTCCCATTTCTCTGCAAACAAATATCAAGGCAGTAATAGCAGCTTTGAGCTAATTAAGCTAAAATCTGATTGGATTTCCTTTATGATTTCACCATCAACCTATTTACTCATTATAAAGTTTATGATTAACCTGATGAAGATATTTTTCTTTTTTTTTCCCTATGAAAGATGGTTTCTCCACCTCTTAGTCAATCATTACAACCTCATTCTTCTTCCACATCCTCGGCTATTATTGATAAATTGAATGGTTGAAATCTCAAGATAAATTTTTACAAAAACAAATACACGAACAGAAGGATGTTAAAAACACTTGCACATAAAAAGTACATATCAACCATACACCTATGAAAATAGGCTGCTAGTTAATGTTATGGAGGACATTCTCGTCTTTCATTTCGTTATTTCTGGAGGAATGGACAAGCAAAGAAGAAGGTCGGTCTGTGATGAACGAATAGGTAAGTCCATGCTGCTAGTGTTAATCTAGTGACAATGCATCAGTAGGCCAGTTATCCTTTGTTATAACAACATGCCTCTGGAGGTTTCCTGTTTCTCGTGTACATGCACACATGACATTATGTATCGTCAGGTATTCACAGTCAGTATTGTATCTTGTTCATGTTGTGAAAATGTTTTAAATAACTAAACTTGCACCTCTGTTGAGTGAGTAGCATATAAGGATAACCTAAATAAACCAGACTTGCAACAGTTCTACAGTATCAACATAGTAAAGACTGCAGTTAAAAATTAAAGCCAGAACTAAGGACTTCAATCGTAGCTGCTAAATAGTAGATAGAATATCATTTATCATGCCACCATATATAAATAGTTGCTTCCTTTAAATCCATTACTCGTTGATGCAGAAAATAAATGGAGTTGGCTAGAAGAACTAAAAATATAGATGACTAACCTGAAGAATCAGCATTTCCCAATTTATGGAACCCTTTTCTTCCATCAACCTCTCCTTAAGAGGCATCAGTCTCTCAACCAAGATACTGCAGCAAAGTCTCACAGCCTCACAGCTTGCTTCAGATGTTGTGCTCCCAGAAGTAAAACCACCTTGGATTAAGCTTAATGTATCTGACTGTACAATACGTATTTTCTCCAGAAGATTATCCGTTCCATCACACTGGATCAAACTTAGGGCATATGCAGCCATCTGTTTTACCTTTGTCCACAGGCCCTGGCCAAGTTCAATGCCACCAACCTCAACAACAACAGACCCATCCCTCAGAATACTCACTTTTCCTGGTGTACTCCTCAGTATGACTTCATGCACAACGGGCACTTGAGAAATGCCCCTTTTGCGCCATCTATTACACCTATTAAAAGCATTTACCAAATCAGTCCTCTGGTTGAAGGTTGAACTTCTTGCCAACTTATCCCATATCGATGGTAAAGTATACTCCTGAGCTTCATCAGCACTACCTGCATAGAATAGGTCCAGGCTGTTACATGTGTGAAGGTTAATGCTTCTAACTGAATCCACCTCCATGGAAAGGGTAGATGCTACATGTTCAATAACAGCTTCAGCAATGAATGATCCCTGCACCTCTCCAGGGGCCCGCATAGCTGATCTACTTGGAAGGTTTGTCTTGCACACTTTTACATCAAAAGATAAAGCACCCCAGTCATACTTCTTTAGCGCACCTATGATATTGTGAGGCATTGCCGGACTTATGTCAGCGGACATCCCAGCATTAACTAATATATCAAGTTGTAAAGCTGTAATCTTTCCATTTGATTTGAATCCAACACTGTAAGTTACTTTCATTGGATGCCTTCCTCCAGCCATTATCATATCAACCTTGCGGTTGAGATATATCCTAACTGGACGTCGTAATCTGTGTGCAGCAAGCGCACATGCTGTAGAAACCTAAGAATATCACATGGGGTGCACTAAGGAGATTAAAACTAAACAAGAGAGAGAGAGAGAGAGAGAGAGAGAGAGAGAGAGAGAGAGGAATTTACTCTATAAATATATACACACACACACACAAAAAGGTAATCTGATGATGTTACATAGTTGGCACAATGCCAAAGATCTTGCATTCATACAAAAAGGTTCTTAGTCGGTTCTTTTTTTCTTTTCAAGAGTAGCATTGCTGGTCCAGAAATCATAAAGAATCCAGACAACCTGCTGGTGGGACATTGATGCAAGAATTTCAGGTGCAAACAAGTTAAATCAAGAAACCTACTCGTATATTGGC